AGATAGATCATCTTACAAATATAGATAGATAGATCATCTTACAAATATAGATAGATAGATAGAAAGATAGATAGATGGATAGATAGATCATCTTACAGATGAAATGGCTAGATGTATCTGTAAGCTCTATGTTACCAGTTTCTTCTCTCGTATTTCTCGCCTGTTGAACTCCTTTTCAGCTTCTTGCTTCCCCAGTAAACTGTTATCTTCAAAACTTCAAAAATGCAATGTCAATCATTATCTTCTAATCGCCTTTTGAACATTCCTTCCGTGGCACCAATATACACGATTTTTTTTTTTTTTTTTTTTGTGGGGAGGGCCTGCTAGGAAATTCTTATTAGCAAAAAGTTATATAAAACATGTCAATTTGTTCATCTCTCTCGTTACTTCTTTATTTCCCACCCCTTATACCAGCGTCATGTTTATGTATTTAAGAGTGTCTTAGGAGGAAATATAAAATTTTACCGCCTGACGATACCTGATTGATATAAACCACAGTAGCAGGAAGGTTGGTTTTTGAAATATTTTATATACAGAGTGTACCTAAGGTCTGTAAAAATAGCAAATTGCGCTAACTATATTTTTTTTTACCTCCACAGATGAAACCTGTTTTTGTCGAAAGAAGTGTCTTCTGGGGTACGCTAAAGGAGAAGGTGTACTCAATGAAAATCACAGATGCAACATACTTGATTGAATGCATAAAGAGTGCATGTGATAAAAGTGTCGACAATGTGGACTTATTGCATCGAGTTCACGTGAGTCTGGCAAATCGAATTAACCTTTGCATCACAAATGATGGGAATCATAATGAAGATGTTATTTTATTAATATTCAAATTCAATAAAATGTTGTTGAAAATTTAATTTCTTAAAAAATATGCATTTTTGCCTATATGTCCAGACATTAGGGCACCCTATGTATATATATATATATATATATATATATATATATATATATATATATATATATATATATATATATATATATGGTCTGCCTAAATATTTTCAGTTATACTAGATACATCAAAAACCGTTTAAGCGAACTTAATATAACCAGGCAACTAATCAGTGAGAAACTTGTTTCGCATACCTAAACAGATACTCTACCTATGTGTTAATCAGGTGGTTGTTAGCGCCATTTGTGTGATATCTTTACTGTGTCGCATTCACAATGTCCAAGCGAACAAATTCTTCTGATCGCATAGATAAATTTTATTTTTCTTATTTATTAGCAAAACATTGCATTATAATAATGCAGTTTTGGTTTCAAGATACTATTTGTTTTACCTATTAAAAGAAAATAGTTCAAAATGTCGACAACATTACGGAGAACATTGTGATGCTGTTGAGGGTGAACACGAAAGAGAACATTCAGACAATCCTAAAAATTCCAAATATATTCATTTATTTATTTAAAAAAAAAAAAAACGTAGAATCACCCAATGCAGATTTGGTTCCCAACGACTTTTAGTTTTACCGAAAGGTAAATTCTCTATTAACAGGAAATTATAATAGATTGGGCACAACATTAAGGAGAAAATAAGTTTTGCAGACTCTCTTCAAAAGTAGAAAGAACGCTAATAGAACTGAGTGAAATCACAATGTATGCGCTCTCATTAGATTAGGGCGACATTGAAGTATTTTTTTCGTTGATATGTGGATACCTAATCCTATATCTTTAAATAATCAGATCTTATCCTATTAAACGGGCTTTAGTTACGGTTTCTGGGAGAGAACGCATGATCTTGTGTGACAATATGTTTGAACAAGACCAGTATGCTCAAATCCTTGGTCACGATGACTTATGAATTTGAATTAGCACAACGATCGACGGCCCCTGAGTAGTCACCCCTACTCAATTTCATTCACAATGATTGGTTCAAATCTTCTGCAGATGCCGAAATTTTAAACCCAGGTTCTACTGTCTAAATACTAACGTTCAGTTACTATCATCTATCTATCCATCTATCTATCTATATATCTCTCTATTTCTCTCCTTCTCTCTGTCTCTCTCTCTTTCTCTCTCTCTCTCTCTCTATATATATATATATATATATATATATAT